TGTAGAGGGCAGTGTCACTGGCCCTCATATGTGGGATCCGAACCGGGGCCCTCTGGCATCCCAAGCGAGTTCTTAACTATCGCGCCACTCGGCCGGCCCGTGAATTGTTTTTGTATCTTGAAATTTTAGTTGTAACCTCAGTGGAAATACTGTGAGGCCTGGGCCAAGGCTATATCCTGTACTTTTGTATTTGTTTCTGCCAAGTGCCTTTTTGGAGGACAGGTGAGTGAAAAATAAGCTTTAGTATATCCATACAATAAGATACTACTCAGCAGTAAAAAGCATTGAGTTGCTGATACATGGAACAATATGGTTGAATCTCAAATGCATTCTAAATGAAAGAAGTCAAACAACAGAATACATACTGTATGATTCTATTTATGTCACATTCTAGAAAAGACAAAACTATAGTGATAAGCCAACAGAAGAATGCATGGTGGGGTGAGGAGTGACTGCAAAGTGGCAGGAGGGAATTTTCTGGGGTGATGGAAATGTTCTGTATGTCAGCTGTGATGGTGGATATGCAATTTATACAGTTTTCAAAAGAAACCAAATTGTACACATAAAATTAGTGAATTTCACTGTATAAAAATGATACCTCAGTAAAGCTGATTTAAAGAAAACAGGCAAAGCTCATCGATGGTAACAGAAGTGAGAGTAGCAATTGCGCTGGGGGAGCACTAACTGTGAAGGGAATGGGAAGGATCCTTCTGGGGTGTGGAAATGTTCTGCATTCGGTGTAACCTGGCTGTATCCAAAGTTAAAATTCATTGAGACTAGTGCACTCTGTGTGTTACATATTTTAATAATAAAATTCAAAAGGAAAAATACTCCAGAAAGGGTTAGAATGTAAAGTTGAGAAAATCTTGAAGAAAGTAGAGCAAAAGGATAAAAAAGATGGAAAATAGGAGAGAAGAAATAAGAAAACTAGAGGGCCAAGGTTGGAAATTTAATATCTGAATTAAAAGTTTTCCAGAAAGAGAGAACCAAAAAAATAGAAATCATCAATGAAATAATTCAGAAATTTTCCTAAAATTGGAAGACATTCATTTCTAGATTGAAAGAGTCCCAAATAGACCCTTTCAAATACATCATCAACAGTTTTAGAAAGCTTGTGTCAAAGAGAGGCTTGCAGAAAGGGCAAAAAACAGGTGATATATAAAGGATCAGAAATTTGAATGACTTCGTCTTCTCAACTTAATATTGAAACCTAGAAGGTAATAGAACAGTGCCTTAAAAATTCTGAAGGAAAATTATTTGCAAACTAGGATTCAGGAGCCAGCTGAACTATCACTGAAGTGTGAGGGTAGAATAAAGGTGTTTCCAGACATGCACAGTCTCAGAAACTTTACCTCCGACCTATGGAAAATGTGCTCCCTATGTAAGGGAGTAAAGCAAGAGAAAGAAAAACATGTGATAGACAAGAAAGGATTCAATATAGAAGAGGCAAAGGGGCTCCCTAGGATAAAAGGAGATACCAAGTTGAACAGCCTTGGGAGGTAGATACAGTCTCTTCCTCCAGAGCAAAGACTAGGCTTACTTATAGCCATGGAAGAAAAAGATAGTATTTTCCTTTGGAACAACGGGTAGGCATGCATACTGTTCAATATAATAGATTTGGTTTTCCTAAAGTTTATGGTTCCTCTCCTGTAATGCAACCTACTGCATATGTAGCTGTTACCTGGGCCATAACCTGTTGCCCTGTGGAAATTGAGGCTTGGGAAATTGTTCCAAAAAACCCCAAACCAATCAAACAAACAAACAAACCCAAAACAAAAACAACCAAAACCTTGGGTTGGGTTATCTTTTGGAAGGTTCATAGTTTTAACTGTTATGTTTAGGTCAATAATTCATTTTGAGTTAATTTTTGTATATAATGCAAGGTAAGAGTTGAGGTTCAGGGGTTTTTTTTTGGTTGTTTTTTTTTAATCGATATCCAATAGTTTCAGCACCCTTTTTGGAAAAATTTTATCCTTTCCTCATTGACTTGCCATGACACTTCTGTTGGAAATTAGTTGGCCATATATGTGTGGATCGTTTTTGGACTCTTCATTTGTTTCATTGGTGTATGTGTCCATCTTTATGAAATTCCACACTGTCTTGATTACTGTAAATTTATAGTAAATCTTGGAATCAGATAGTATAATTTGTACTTGACTGTTTTTCAAAACCGTTTTGGCTCTTCTATGTCCTTTGTATCTCCATATAAATTTTAGAATCAACTTGTCAATATTTATAAGAAAGGCTGTTGAGATTTTGATTGGGATTGCATTGACTCTTATTGATCACGTTTAAGAGAATTGACATCTTACGAATATTGAGTGTTTTAATTCATAAATGCCCCCCCCCCATTATATAGCCATTAATTTGGTCATTTTTAGTTTCCCTTAGCAGTTTTTGGTAATTTCTAGTGTTCAGATATTGCATATATTCTGTTAAATTTATCCCTGAGTGTTTCATATTCTTGAATTATTTCATTGTTTTGATTTTAGTTTTCAATGATTTATTGTTAGCATATAGAAATATAATTTATTTTTTTAATTGACCTGTGCCCTACAACCTTAAAAAACAGTGTTTAGCCCGGGAAGAGCTCAATGATGGTGCCAACTTGAGCCAGTGAAGCAACATCCTCCACAACTAGACTGAGGAACAAAACAACAGCAACTTGTCTGTTCCCCTTCCCCCGATTCCCCAGTGCTGTTCCCCTCCCCCAATGCCCCAATAAAATCTTTAAAAAAAAAAAACCAAAAACCAAAAAACAAACCCAAAACCAAACAAAAAACAACAACCAGTTTTTAGTTCTCATAGCTATTGTAGCTCCCCTAAGGTTTTTTCCATGTTGTATTTAAATAAAATCAGTTTTACTTCTTTTCTAACTAATATGCATTTTAGTTTATTCTTGCCTTATTACACTGGTTAGAACCTGTAGTTCTAATTTTGGATGGAAGGGTGAGAGCAGATATACAGGCAATGTTCTTTATTCATCTTTGGGGACAGCATTCAGTCTTTCACAATAAATATAATGTTAGCTGTAGGTATTTCATAAATGCTCTTTGCTAGGTTGAGGAAATTCTATTCCTTAGTTGACTAAGAGTTCTTATCATGGTGTTGAATTTTGTCAAAGTTTTTTTCTGCATCTTTGAGATGATCATGTTTCATTTCTGGCCTCAAAATTATATTGATTGGTGTTTTAATGTAAAACACCTTGAATTTTTGGAATAAACCCCACTTGGTCGTAGTGCATTATTCTTTTTATACATTACTGGATTTGATTAGCTAAAATTTAAAGATTTTTGTATCTATGTTCCCAAAGAATACAGAAATGTAAATTTCTTTTCTTATAACGTCTGCTTTTGGTATTAGGGTAATGCAGGCCTTAAAACATGAGTTGGAAGTTTTTCTGCCTCTTCTTTCTTTGACAGAGTTTGTTTAGAATTGATTTTATTTTTTCCTTAAATGCTTGGGAGAATGCACTAGTGAAGCCATTTGGATATGGAGTTGTTGTTTTTGTTTGGTTTTTGGTGGGAAGATTTTAAATTACAAATTGGATTTCATCGATTGCTGTAGGACTATTCAGATTAATTATTCTGTTTCTTCTTGAGTAAGCTTTGGTGTGTTGTGTCATAGAATTTGTCCACATCATTAAGCCCTCCTTTTTTTTTTAATATCTCTAAAGTTTGTAGTGGTTGCCCCTCTTTCATTTTTTATTTTGGTAATTTATGTTTTCTCTCTCCCTTTACTGGCTAATATTACTACTGGAGTATCCATTTTAATGACCTTTCCAAAGAACCAGCTTTTGTCTACATTTAAATTTTCTATTGCTTTTCTGGTTTTATTGTTTTGGTTATTGCTCTTAACTTTATTGTGTTGTTCCTTCTACTTCTTTTGGGGTTTAATTTACTTTTATTTTTCTAGATTCTTAAGATAGAAGCTGACAGCAGGAATTGGCAAACTACAATCTGGGGGCCATATCCAGCCTGCCACTTGCTTTTGAATGGCCCATGAAGTAAGAATGGCTTTGGCATTTTTTTAATGGTTAAAAAAGTCAGAAAAAAAATACTATTTTGTGATATATGGAAATTAAATGAAATTTAGACATCAGTGTCCGTAAATAAAGTTTTATTGGAACACAACTACATTCATTTGTTTACATACTGACTATGGCTGCTTTCTTGCTAGAATGACAGAGTTGAGTAGTTGAGACAGAGCCTTTGTGGCATTTTCATTGCTGTGCACTGCTGCTTGGTACACTATAATCACATTTCACATGCCATGCATATCAGTGTATTGTGACATTTTTATCTAATAGCACATACCCTTTATGTCAAAACAAGAAAAGGTGAGAAAAAGGGGCATGACATGTTACACGTTTAAAGCACACTAGAGTGTGGGTAATTGAATTAGATGACAAAGTATTGTGTTTATTATGCAATGACTATAGCTGTGCTAAAGAAATATAGTATATACCGACGTGACTAGACTAATCACTCATCACAGTATTTCCAACTGTCAGGACAGCAATAGTCAGAAAAGGTAGAAAACTTAAAAAGGAATATCTTATCACAGCAGAATTTTTTTACAAAATTAAAAAACAAAAATCAGTCTACACCCAGGGTAAGTTTCTGAGTGTTTTATTTGTTAGTCAAGCAAGGAACCATTTACTGATGGTGATTTAACTAAATTGTGTTTGATTATGGCAGCCAAAGAAATGTGTTTAGAGAAAATAAATTGGTTTAAAACTGGTAGCCTTTTTGTGTGAACAGTTGCAGGAAGAGTTGAGGACACCATTAGTCAATTGAAAAACAAGGCAGATGATTTTGAATGGTTTTCCTTGGCTGTCGGTGAGTTGACAGATGTTAACAATACAGCTCAACTGTTGTCTATTCAAGAAGTCAGTGCTGAGTTTGAAATTACCAAATAATTAGTTTTGATAAATAGGGTTCATAGAACAACTACATGCAAGGATACTTACAAAAAGTTGAGAAAACACTCAAGTCTGTACAACCTGAAGTGGAATCCACTAAGATGTGTTACAGCTTATGGTGGTAAAATATGTGTAGGTCAGAAAAAGGCTTGGGTGAACAAATTTACAAAGCTGTACAAATGTGAGGTGGTTAAAGCCTGTGTTTATTCATTTTAAAAAATTTATTAGATATTTTGCAGATAATATTTGATCCTATCAGGTGACACAGAACCAGTAGTGTCTCAAGACTCCAAGTAGTGCTCTTGTGGACTTAGCTATTGTCAGTTCCATGGATTTTTGTCAGAAGATAAATATTCTGACTTGCTCTACGACATGACAGATCAGCAGCTTAGCAGTGAGGGATAAAGTTATATTGCAATCTTTTGAGCTTAGGGCTGATTTGCAATTTTTCTGAATGAGAGGAACTGCTCTAAACCACTGTTATTAAACATTGAATGGTTTGGGGAATCTTTTTTTTTTTTTTTTACTGCAGACTTTTTTGCTGCACAAGTGATAGATATCAAGCTGTTTTATGTAGCTTTCCATGCTGTCAAAAGTTGAAGCAAAGAAGTGAGATCTCCATTCTCTCCACCCTCGATTTGCAGTAGATGTATTTTCTGAGCTCAAATTGCAATTTCAGGAGCATTTTTCAGACTTTGATAGAAGTACAAAGGAAATTTGCATATGACAAAACCATTTAACTGTGCAATTGAGGCACTTGCACTTAACCTTCAGTTGGAAGTGATTAATCTGCGATGTAATGACATGGAAAAGACAGTATCAAGAGAAGAATAAATTACTTAAATGCCTTTTTAAACAATGAATATGCAGAATGAAATCGTATGCTTGTGATTTGATATCAGTATGTGACAGTATCTATCTGGGTAAAAGACATTTTCAAACATGAAATTCATAAACTCTTACTAAAAAGCAGCATTAATATATGAATATTTACACGTGATTTTGATGTAGGGAACATTAACTTTGAATCCTAACTAAATGAAGTATTATCTCTCCCTGCAAAAAAAAAAATGAGTTCCATTTTTATTAGTAGGCCTGTTTTACAAAGAGTTGTGCTCCACTATTATTACTATTTTGAATTTCATCAATAAAAATTGTGGAAAATTATGTCTTATTATATAAATACTTAAATAATATCCTGTTTTGCCTGTTGACCCTCAAAACCTAAAATATTTGCTGTCTGGTTCTTTACAGAAGAAATTTGCTGACTCCTGCTTTGTATACAGGTGTTTTTATTCTGCATAGTTGTATACATGCACATATTAGCAGAATTAATGCTTTTGTTTCACAGTGATTTATAAAAAGTATCATATGGACTGATAGAAATTAAATTTTAAAAGCCCCTTTTACATTTGAATTAGCAACTCATTATAATCAGTCCCCTTTGACTATTGACACTAATTTTCCAGGCCATGTCTGAATTTATTCTGGTTTCTGCTCCAACCCCTTCCTAAGGCTCCAGGTACAAGTGAATCACATTTTTACCATACCCCTAATTTTATATGTATTACATTACAAATTTATATATATATATATATAAATTATACATACACACACATATTGTATATACACACACACATATATGTATATATATATAAAATGATCAGATGATATGGTGAATGTTTGAATAAAAAAATTATTACAGTAAAAGACACATTGCCATTAATCCCCCTCAAAATATAAGGTCTGACAGTTGCATTCGTGAACTTATCCTAGAAAAGTGCTACATACCTCGTTGCTGAATATCTCTAGAGTCACCTTCAAAGTACTCTCCTTGGGAAGCTATGCACCAATGCCAGTGCCTAGTCCAGCCTTCAAAGCAGTTTTGGAACTCTTTTTCTGGAATGGCCATCAGAGCTGTTGTTGGATTACCCTTGATGTCTTGAAAATCATCAAAATACCTTCCTTTCAATATTTCCTTTATCTTCCGGTAAAGAAAGAAGTCATTGGGGGCCAGATCAGGTGAGTAGGGAGGGTTTTCCAATATAGTTATTTGTTGACTGCCTATAAACTCCTTCACAGACAGTGCTGTGTGAGCTGGTGCATTGTCGTCCTACAGGAGCCATGAATTGTTAGCGAAAAGTTCAGGTCATTCTCGTCTGTTTCATGCAGCCTTTTCAGCACTTGAAATAGTAAACTTGGTTAACTATTTGTCTAGTTGGTACAAATTCATAATGAATAATCCCTCTGATATAAAAAAAGGTTAACAACATCATTTTGACTCTTGATTTGGACTGATGGAACTTTTTTGGTCGTGGAGAATTGGCTGACTTCCATTGTGCAATTTGACACTTTGTTTCAGGGTCATATTGGTATACCCATGTTGCATGGCCAGTGATAACATGGCCCAAAACATTGTATCGCCTCTCCAGAAGATCTTGGCAAACTTTGACTCTCCTTTGCTTTTGTTTATCGGTGAGCTCCTTTGGGACCATTTTTGCACACACCTTTCTCATGCCAAGATTTTCAGTTAAGAATTTCCTAACTTTCTCTGTTGGTATTTACTTGCTCTGCTATGCTTCTCACAGTCAGCCGATGATTTTGACACACAATCTGACAAATTTTTGCAATGTTTTTGGCAGTTCTGCTCGTTACTGGCCATCCTGACCTCTCTTCATCAATGATGCATTCTCTTCCCTCAGAAAAACATTTAATTCATTTGTACACTGCTGTTTTCTTCATGGCATTATCCTCATAAACTTGGACTAACATGTCCCTGATTTCACTTCCATTCTTGCCAAGTTTAACAAGAACTTTAATGTTTGTTTGTTGCTCTAAATCAAGCTCAGACATTCTCGTGACAGCACACAAAAACACACAACAACAATAATGAACGCCACTCAGCAAGACACTGCCACACGTCAACATGAACATAGCTGTGAGACACTGATATACCAAGGTTATGAAACCTTGCCGAGCTGTTTGTACAGCGCTGCCAATGTAAGTGCACAGTGGCAAGTTCATGAACTTAATTGTCAGACCTCAAATTCCCCCTTGCTTTGAACAGACTTATCCCATCATTCTTGCCACTTTCTGAAGCAGTTCTTAAAGTCCTCTTTCTTGAGTATCTTTAGTTATGCTGTTGTGGCTGCCGTGATGTCAGCATTTACCTTTCATGGTCATTTTGAGTTTGGCAGGAGTCAGAAGTCACACGGTGCCAGATCTGTGAATAAAGTGGATGAGGACACACCTAAGTGTTTTTATTTGACAGAAATTGCCATACCAGAAGAGGTGTGTGACACAGAGCCTTTCCACTATGATCACATAATACAGTGAATGCTGCTGCCGAGTGCCATCTAATGGAAAGGCAGAGCTCTTCAATATGGGCAGTGGCGTCTTGAACCTTAACAGTGTGTGACAAGTTTCAACTTGTTCGGTGCAGTTAGTCAGGTGTGAGCTACGGTTGAGAGAAGGTATGTTTTAAAGTGTGCTGTAAATCATCCTCCATCATGACAACGCTCCCTGTCACACATTGCTTCTGGTATATGGCAATTTCTGTCAAAAACATTACGGTGTGTCCTCATCTATCCACCTTATTCACTGGATCTGGCACCGTGTGACTTTGGCTCTTCCCCGAAGTCAAAATGATTCAGGACATCGAAGCAGCCACGACAGCGCAACTAAAGAGACTCAAGAAAGAGGACTTCCAGAACTGCTTCAGAAAGTGGCAAGAGGGATAAGTGTGTTCAAAGCGATGGGAAGTATTTTGAGGGGGATCAGTGGCAAAGTGTGTTTTACTATAATAAATTTTTCGTATTTAAACATTCATCATATTGTTTGAATATTATTCTACTGATCACTGATTCATCTGTGAAATCTTGTACTGGTACCATATTGCTTTAGTTATTTTGACTTACTGATACATTGAAAGTCTGTTTAAAACCAGTGTTACCTCATTATACTTTTCTAAACAAAAATAAAACAACAAAAAGAGAAAATATATGGGACAGCTTTATTTCTACTGGATTCATTCATTCATTCATTGTAATAAGACCTTATTGCTTTGTGTTACTGTTCTCATTTGAAGAAGCTTTCCATGGTGGTTCTGTATTCTGTAGATCTAATGAATGTTGGAATTTCTTACTGTGTAAAAATAGTGTACTGTTTGCTGCAGTGTATTCTTAACATAGATGCTGCCTGCCATGAACCTATGCTGGGAGAAGCGGCAAATGATGATGATGATGATAATAGTAATAATAATAATATGCCAAAACACATAAAGGAAGCAGCTTTGTTTTCAAGAATGCACTGGAGTCACTTAAAGTGCGTGCAACTAGATGTGGTTAATTGTGAGGAAGTTTTTGAGCCCCTTAAGAATAGATAAGAGGCAGAGAGGAAGAGCGTAGCCACTCACACCAAAATTTAATTCCCTCAGGGAGGCACAGAGAAATACTTGACTTCCTCTAAGTGAGCTCATTGATTTGCTGTTGTAGGTAGTAAGTGTAGGGCAGTTTGGACTCCTTGCCAGGATGTCATGCCTCTGTGTCTCTGGACTTTCTGCTCTTTGTCATGGAAAATATTTTGCATAGAAGCCTGGCACTATTTGGGGAGACCTTGGAAAGCCTGGAAGAAAGGCCAGAATGATGGGCTGAGGGCTTTGGTGGAAACCAGAGGTTCAGATGATGGTCTAGCTTCTTGTAGAAGGGAAAAGATTAGTGATAGTTATTTGCACAGATAAAAAGCTGTAGTGAGTGACAGTATCATGGAAGATTACAAGTTGAGGAACAAAAAGGGCTCAGGTAGTTTGATTCAGGATTTTGCTTAGATTTTCATTGTAGGGGACATTAAATACGTATGAATGGTGCATGGACAACTATTGGCTTTTCCTTTAAAGAGAGTTCCTTCACTATGACCTTTTGTTCTTGGGGGCCAAAAAGTTTTAGTGTGAACTAATTTCTGCAGTGTTAACATCAGAGCAAAATATAATGTGATATTCTTATATTTCTGCATTGTCAAGAATAAATTGAAAGAAGTAAAACAAATTCATCATTACTATTATTACAGCTTGTAGTAATTGCAAATGAGCAAGGAAAACCTAGAACCTGTAACAGAAATCAATAGTTCAGAGCTGTGTAATTTCTTATTATCTCCTTGGGTGTTCGTTTGTGACCTCCCCATTCTGCGAAAATTAGAAACTTTGTTCAGTACCATAAGATACATTCAGATAGCCTCAAAGAAGGAGAGAACCACTTGGACTTTCAAACTAGTTTTGAGCAGGTGTTTTAAAGAATAATAAAAAATGTTTTAAAGTCAGCTGAAAACTTAATTAAAAAGTCATTATATTTTACGTTTAGGTCTCTGAAGATGAACTTGGCTGAGATTTGTGACAATGCAAAGAAAGGAAGAGAATATGCACTTCTTGGAAATTATGACTCATCAATGGTATATTACCAAGGGGTGATCCAGCAAATTCAGAGACATTGCCAGTCAGTCAGGGACCCGGCTGTGAAAGGCAAATGGCAGCAGGTGAGATCATGTGACAGTGTTCCCTGAGCGAGGGCCGGCGTCTATTGTACTTGCAGGATTAGAACTTGTGATGTCCTAAGGCGTTCTTACTTGTCTGAATACTGAGATACATTTTAAAGTGAACTCCAAATAGTTTTCTCTCTTGCCCAGTTAGTAGTTGATATATTTTTGATAACATATTTCATGAGACATATTTCAAAGGTATTTAATTTTAATGGAATCTACTTTCAATTTAAAAAAATTTGTATGATCAGTTGCCTAGTTGAGTGTGAGTACACATTTATAAAATAAGGTATTGCTACTTTCCTTTTACCCTTTCATTTCTGCATGTATTTTTGACCAATTTCATAACACTTTTTGTTTAAGCAAGTTTCCTCCTTGGGGATGTAAAGTACAGCATACGGAATATAGTCAATAATATGTAATAACTATGTATGGTGCCAGGTGTGTACTAGACTAGTCAGGGGGATCATTTCTTAAATTATAAAATGTCTAACCACTATGCTGTACACCTGAAACTAATATAAAACAAACCGAATGTCAACTGTAATTGAAAAACAATTTTTTTTAAAAAAGAAAGTTTCTTCTTCTGAAAGACTCCTTACAAATACAAAGGAGTCAGTAATCTAATAAAAAAAACCATTATATTTGCTGTCTCTTGACTATACAACTAGATTATTTAATAGTATAGTTAAAAAGTTGAATTATAATTTCTCCACTTACTCTTAAAACTTAAAATTGTTTTAAAATTAAAAGTACAAAGTTGAGTATTTCTTTGAAGTTTCCATTTTATGTACTAATGCCTTTTAAATGTTTCTTTTAATTTTTCCACTAGTCAGAAATTGATGTTTTTCTAAGTTTTCAGGGTACATTTGTCTTACTTTCTGATTTAAGTGTTACCAGATTATGTTGAGTGAAAACAATATACTTGCTCTAACTCAAGTTGAAAATTTTAGTTGTTCTTTCCTGCATACTAGCCACTAGATTTTATAAATCTAGCATGGAAATATTTTTGACATATTCTTAATTGTGTTAAATAGTGGCCATTTCTATTGAGATATTTCTGCTGTGTTTCTTTCCATTAGATTCTGAAGTTTTGTTTTTCCAAGTATAGCATGTAATTGTATATATGAGCAGTTCAATTTTACCTAGGTTTTTCTTTGGTTCTGAAGCTCCTTTATATGTTCTATTCTGTTCAAGGTAAAGATAAGGGGAAGTTTCTTATGCTCTGCTTTATAGTAAAGTATGCTTCCTGGCTAAATAAAAAATCAGAATTGTAATTTTCAATCTATTTATCTGTTTGCCTTTGAAAATCAAAGTTTGCTCAAAGTTTGAAAACACAAGAATTTCCACATAGTAGGTGCTCAGTAAGGCTTTTTACCTATAGGAAAAGTCTTGCCTTTAAGCTGAAAATAAACTTTACCCAGCACTTGAAAGAATTTAAACAAGGCCAGAAGAATTCAGATTTTAGGTGAAGGAGAGCTTAAATAAAAATCAGAAGTGGGTGATTCATAGTATAATACCACTTCAGGTTTTTATTTATTTTTTTTAATTTTTATTTATTTTTTATTTTTTTATTTTTTCCACTTCAGGTTTTTAGATGCTTGGTATAGGCAGACATTTTATATTTAAGTGATATTGGAGGTAGGAAATGATGGTCAAAATTTTGGCTGACAGTTTTTTGGAAGCTATTTACAAATAAAAGGATTGAGCATAACATTGATTTCTGGGAATGGTTAACTTATTACTGACTTAGTCACGTGTTTCAAATTGTTAATAATCACCACATTCTTTGGTAGAAATAAAGGTCCATTATGAAAGATATATAGCCACCTCCCCTATGAAAAGGTATATAATTATGTCTTTTTTCAGACTAAATTCCCGCCCTCCTATATCCACTTTGTTTTTTAAATATGCTTTAGTGACTACTTTTGCATACTTTGAGCGACAGTAAGAAAATTTACATTCTATAGGAATTTATGATTTACAATATTTATGAACTTGAAACTGTTTCTGGTGTAAAGGCTCTATATTTTTTTAAGGTTCGGCAGGAATTATTGGAAGAATATGAACAAGTTAAAAGTATTGTCAGCACGTTGGAAAGTTTTAAAATCGACAAGCCCCCTGATTTTCCCGTGTCCTGTCAGGATGAACCATTTAGAGACCCTGCTGTTTGGCCACCCCCCGTACCTGCAGAACACAGGTAAATGGGACTTAATACTCTCTTTAGCTAGTAGATATTCAGAGTAAAGAGAGTGAAGCTTTATTTGAACAAAGGATGAAAAAGTCTTTTGGGGGGGCATGTAAATTTAATATTTTTTATAATTTTCACACCTACAGGTTTACAGAGTTTGTATTCGCTAAAGAACCATAGTCAATCACTTGTCATATATCTTGCTTTTAGAATGTTGTCATGACAATAGAAATATACTAGTGCTAAAATTTATCAGTTAAGTGAGGCCTTAGATTTCGTATCAGCATCAAAACTTAGATAGCTATCTTGCTTTAAAACATTTTTGCTTTGAAAGACTCTTTAACAACTGTAGATGAAATGGCGGACAAGTAGGATTCATCTGGTTTGGCCTACAGTCAGTTTCCAGAGTCTTAGTGGAGAAGGAGCCTAGTGTTCCTCAAAGGTTAAAGGTCAAGTTCCAGTGTGTGGCATAGAAAGCTCTGAGTTTATGTCCCTGTGCCCAGCCTGTGCATCATCTGCACCAGGAGTTGGCAAACTTTTGAGACAGAAGAGCCGCCAGGGGTCAGCAAACTGCGGCTCGCGAGCCACATGTGGCTCTTTGGGTACGTACATGTGGCTCTGAAGTAAAATTGAAAATGAAAATAAAACTATCATAGTTTCATCTATAACATTTTTAAAGGATATTATTCACATAATGGTGATTATGTGAAAAAATATGTATGGCTCTCAAATAATTTTTAATTTGTTGTGAGGGACAGGATTGGCTCTTCCAGGGGTTGGCAAACTTTTGAGACGGAATGTATCCATCGAGCCTCATGTGGCTCATGAGCCGCAGTTTGCCGACCCCTTATCTGCACTAAACCTCTCTCTTCTTGTTTTTTCCTGTTGTCTGTGCACAGTCTGTTCTTTGTTCAAGGAAGATCCATAATCCCCATCTAAGCAACTCATATTCATTCTTCAAGTCTCAGCTAATGTATCTCCTCTTTGCAGCCCTTTTTAATTAGCATAGGTGTAACAGTTTGTTCATAACAGTTGTCATGTTGCGTTTCTTTGTCTTATCACAAGATTAGGAGCTTTGCAAGGGCAAGCACCATGGTTTTATTTACTCAAGACAAAAATAACAGACTTCCATTGTTAGCACAGGGTTTGGCACATAGTAGGCATTCAGCCAACATTGAATGAATAACTCCATTAATTCCACAGGTGAGGAAAGTGAGGCCTGAGAGGCTCTGACCTATCAGTAGGCGAGATCAGGACCTGAGTTTAGGTCTCTCTAGCTTTCAGTCCACTTGATTGTGAAGTAGTGCTGTGGCCAGTGTTGCCTCATAGAATGTAAGTTTCCTGCTGTGAGCGTGTGTTTAACCTGTTGATATCTTGAAGTTTCCTGAAAGCATTTAAAGAACTGTGAAAAGTGGTTAATTTATTCCTTCAGGGTTTTTTCCACAGAGGGACAGATCATTTTATGATTCCCATTATAAAAACACTGGGCACTGGGTGCTGATTCTTTTCTAAGGTATAAACAATAGAGTGCTTTCCTCAGGTGTAACCAACCACCTTCAGAAGTTTTGGATCAAGGTAACCATTACCCCTCAGGAGGTAATGTTTGAGAGTCGTAGGTTTGTTACCATGGACATTCCAGAATAAATACTGAGAAAGTGTTTATATATATATAAAATACCTTCGTTTTTCCTGAAAGTCATTATTTCAGAAATAATACTTCTAGTTTAAAGCTAAAAGCTGACAATAACTTTATTTTTATTTAGATATAATTTGACATAAATGTTGTGTAAATTTAAGATGTACAATGTGTTGTTATATATTTATATATAGCAATATGATTTCCAGGGCAGGGTTAGCTAGCATCTCTGTCCTGTCATGTAATTTTCATTTCTTTTTATTGGTGGGAACAGTAAGATCTCGCTTGTCTCTTAGCAACCTTTTTTTTTTTAAGATTTTAATTGGGGAATCGGGGAAGGGGAACAGACAAGTTGCTGTCCTTTTGTTCTTCAGTCTAGTTGTGGAGGATGTCACTTCACTGGCCCATGTTGGTATTATCATTGTGCTCTTCCCGGGTGAGGCAGATCGGTCGCTGGACACTGGACAACCACTCACGGTGGCTCTTGGCAGCTCACGCCGGCTGCCGGACACTCACGGTAGCTCATGGCAGCCCACTGCAGCTTCACTGCAGCCTACGCCGTCGCTGGCAAATCATGGCTGCCCAGCTCCAGGTCGAGCTGTTGTTCAGCATCTTAGCTGTGGAAGGCAGTGTCACTGGCCCTCATATGTGGGATCCGAACCAGGGCCCTCTGGCATCCCAAGCCAGCTCTTAACCATCGCGCCACTTGGCCGGCCCAGATTAGTACTTTTAAACTTTATGAATAAGGAAAGTCACAGATCCTTCATCAGATAATAACATAATAGTGACATATATGCAAGGCAGATGTTAATGAAGTAAACTTTATACAGGTTTGTAGTGTAGAATGTCTTCATGAGCTGATAAAAATAAATATAATTGTAAGTATAGCGTTAAAAGTTATGGAAAGTTAGAGTTATGTAATATTTTTCTCTGTTTACAATTCTATTTCTTCTGCAGGTCATGTAAAACACGTAATAAAATTTTCACCTAGAGCTAGTGAGTAGTGGATATAGTTTTTAGATATTCTTGGTTTAATGGGAAGACACTTGACGTCAGTCCATGAGATCTGAGTTTGAGTTCTGCTTCTGACACCTACTTGCCTTATGACCTTGAGTATGTTATTTAGCCTCTCTAAACATTAGCTTCATTACCTGTAAAATGAGGCTGTCTGTGTCATGGAATTGATTAAGAGAATTTAATGTCTAAGATAGTAACTGGCATGTAATAAGTAATTAAAATTACGGTTAACTCTGAAATAAAGTACTACAATGTTCTTTCAGATTAATAATAAGCGAATAACAGAATTTCAAAAAGGACAGCCTTATTCATAAAATTCCTCAAGGACTTTTATTTTTCCCCAGCACATTCTACATAAATCCTTAGTTTTCTGAAACATTTTGTATAACTGTGGCAGAGAGGATATGGTCTTTTTAATGTCCAAGTCTCATGAAGTTGGTGAATATTTTCAGGAAAAGGATGATAACTCATTATCAGTCACTTACTATATATTTACAAGCATTATCTTATTTAAGCCTCCAATAATCCCATGAAGTAGCTACTGTTAGTGTGTACCCATATTACTATTAGTAATGTATTATTATGAACTCCATTCACAGCTGAGGACATGGAAGCTTGTTATTTTCCCAGAGTTTGTTATTTTCCAAAGTCATCTGTACAAGAAAGTGGCAGAGCCAGGATTTGAACCCAGATCTCCTCAACTTCGGGGGTCTTGCTTATTTCCACTCTGCTGTGTTTCTTTCCTACACATACTCAGTGGTGTCTCTGGGCATGCTTTGATAAACATCTGTATATCCTGATACATGTATTTGGATCTGTTATCCACTTGATGAAATTCTTACTAGAGATGATGGAAGAATAAAGGGGCTGAAAATGCTTAATGAAATAAATATTGATATTTTAAATGTAATTTAAAAAATTTTCTCTGTGGGAACATCACACTGAAATTGCAGTGGAAGTCCACAGGAAAATAAAATTTACTTCACCATGTTTTGTACAAAATGTTTCCGGGATGTATCTGGTGTGTTTGGCATTACTCACAGATTTGCTAGCCCTGCTCGTGGGTCTGTCCTCACCTCATGGACAGGACATCTGCTTCCTTTCCCATTGCCACTCACCGAAGTAATCTGTGTACCTGGGCTTCCAGCGTGGTGTGCCACAGTCTTCGAAGTTACACCTATGTTATGCGCCTGCTGAGTTTAATCACAGCCCTGTTTTAAATCACCAACAGGTGCTTAGATAAATCAAAACAGTATTTTAAAATGAATTAGATGCATTGCCTTAAACATGAAGAAATTGAGCAACAAAAGAAGGATTACGGTGGGAGGTAGTTGGCAATATTAGAATTTAGCTCCAAAGAGATGAAGCCTCCAGATCATTCTTAGTGTCCTAAGTTAAAAGGTGTCTTATGTTAATGAAATTATTTAATAATATTTTTCATGTAAGTTTATGAAGTGCATTCTCTTTAATGAGACCATTTAAAAGTGGTTTCTCCCAGTGGACCTGAAGCCATGAAATTAAGATTTTATGTGTTGGACACAGCAGTATCTGACATAGCATATATTTAATAAACTATTCTTTATTCAACTTAAAAAATACATGTTAGGTCTTTTTAAAGTTACATTTTTGGGGAGAGATGGCAGTAAGAAAAGGCTACACAAGCCTGAAAGTCATCATTTGGCTTATTCTGTAGAGATAAGCTAGAACCCTAGCAGGCCTTCTACTGTTAATCTGGAACCAGGGGAAATCGCATATTGTGTTTCTGTGCACATATAGGTGGGAAGATTGATTTTTATCGAATTTGTGCTGTTCTGTAGAATGTCAGCCAAGAGGAAATTCTTACTGACCTGATATTAAAGTGGTTGCTTAATGTTTCTTTGGGTACTCAAATAGATTAAGTAACTGCTAGTATTTAAAATCCCAATCTGCAGTGGAAAAAGATCAATTAAGGCCAAGGTCAAGTAACGATAGACAGTAAATACCATCTCATCTTTACAGGTAGTTCACCCAGGCTCTTGCTCAGTTATTCTCCTGGGATTAGGAGATAGGAGTGCAAGTTTTTCTCTCAGTTCCACCACTAATTAAGTGGTCCTCCAAGTTAAGTTTACTTCTCTGTGCCTCATTTTTCTCCTCTGGGAAATGCATATTATGATGAGATTGTTTTTTTTTTTTTTTTTTTTTTTTTTTTTTTTT